TTTTGGACGCTGAAACGCTGGTATTTACACAGTTTTTTGCCCGTGACGGCGCCAAACCCCTGTAAATTACAGCATTTTTTTGCACTTTTTGAACCGATTTTTTGCCTTGATGAACGCAAAAAACGCTGGTATTTACGCGTTTCCCAAAAAATCGAAGATCGTGACGTGAACGAAACCCTGTAAATAACAGTGTTTTAGCCACTTTGGGGGACTAAAACTGTGGTATTTACGCGGGTTCTTGCCAGCTGACAACGCAATATGCTGTAAATTACAGCACTTTGTGCGCTGTTTATGTTCAATTTTTAAACGCGCGATGCTTTCACATGTTCTTTGCATTATTTTGCACTCTTCCACAAGAAACAACGTTGCAGATTGAAACTGGACGACAGCGTGACCCGAAAGAAAGCTGGAGGGAGGAGACGCACAGAAGCTTTTACCCACACACACAGGGCCTTTTACACAGAGAAGTCTTTACAAAGGAGCTTTTTACATACAGAAGGTTTTACACAGAGAAGTCTTTACTCTAAGGTGCTTTTGCAGACCAACGTCTAGGAGCTTTTACTCACAGAAGTTTTTACACGAAGAAGTCTTTACACAGAGGACTTTTTACACACAGACGCGTTTGCACACAGAAGCTTTTACACAGAGAAGCCTTTACACAGAGGAGCGTTTACACACCAAAGCGTTTACACACAGCAAGCTTTTACACACGCAGGGGCTTTTACACAGAGAAGCCTTTACACAGAGTAGCTTTTTACACACAGAAGGTTTTCCACAGAGAAGTCTTTCCTCTGCGGAGCTTTTTCACACAAACGTCTTGGAGCTTTTACACACAAAAGCTGTTACACAAAGGAGTCTTTACACAGAGAGCTTTAACACACAGACGCGTTTACACACAGAAACTTTTACACAGAGAAGCCTTTACACAGAGAGTGTTTACACACGGAAGCTTTTACACACAGAGAAATCTTTACACAGACGGGCTTTCACACAAAGAAGCTTTCACACAAAGAAGTCTGTACACAGAGAATCTTACTTTTACACAAAAGCTTTTACACAGAGAAGTCTTTGCACAGAGGCGCCTTTACACGAAGTAACAAGTTGAAATCGGCAGCAGTTCTTTAGGAAAAACCCTTCGCAGGAGCTTTCGGGAACTCACTTGCTCCCCAAAAAACGTCTATTCCAACAAATATATTCCAAAAAACCTAAGGAATATACTTATTTCTGAAGCAGGTCCTCATTCAGTAACTTTCACGCCCTCACTGCGATGAAATGGAGGGCCGAGTGGTCCGGCGGAGCCGACGAGGGGCGTCAGCCCAAAAATAAGGATGGTGCAAGATGGAGCGCGGTAGCATGCAATGTTATCTAGCCCTAGCTGCAAACCTGCTGCTTTAAACCGGCTTGAACATGCTGAAATCCAGAGATCTGACTGCTCATCCCTCACTCCAATTGATCCTTATTATGACTGTTACCACATGTTACCACTCTTCATGACAAATATGACAATGGCATGCTGCAAACGAGCTGCTCTGCGCTTGTGAATCCGACCCGCTATACAAGTAGGATCAACCCGCCCCATTAGAGCCCTTCTTGGTGAGAGGAATTGCGAAGATGCGATCTATCAACACCGCCGGAAATACATTGGACAAAAAGGCTGATGATGGTTGCACTGTCATTTTCTGACATTTGTTTGTTCAGGGGTTTCTTAATTCATGGGGGATCCCCAGTCGTCACCGTTGTCTCAATACTCAGTCATGGTCGACAACTGGGCGACCTCTGCCAGGGCCCATCGGAGTTCAAGGCTGGCATCCACTTCTTTGCTATACACCTGACATCGACACATCCACGTGGAAAAAGGTGAGATCGGTGGCCAATGAGGAAAAACACAAATAGTACACAAAAAAAAGAGACACTTCAAACTTTAGACTTGGGAGCCTCTGCAAGGGCTATTGTTCAGTGACCATTTCTGACCATCACCATGTAAAAGTGCATATTTATATATGAACCATATATATATACCATATATATATATATATACACCATATAATCCATATATATATATACACACACCATATATATATATATATACCATATATATATATACCATATATATATATATGCCATATATAGATATATATGCCATATATATATATATATACATACACACAACCTCCAGATCCCTCCAGTGCCTCAACCTTTTCTTTGAGCCCTGCACATTCAACCTCGGCGCAAGGCCCTGGGATTGGTGCAGCTATCAGACCAAGAGGTACAACCAGGTACAACTCCGACAGGTGGACAACTATTGACGTTTACACACGCTATATATATATATATATATAGATATACGTATACATGTGTATATAATGCCTCGTCCAGGCTTCTGGAACTGCGTAAACCTGAATTAGGTTGGTAAAACTTGTCCATTCCGTGACGAAATTTCGTCGCGGAATTAACAAGTTTCATTTGGGTCATGTTCATCATCATCATCCTCATCCTCATCATCATCATCATCAGCATCATCATCATCATCATCAGTATCATCATCATCATCATCATCATCATCATCATCATCATCATCATCATCAGTATCATCGTAGCATCAACTGCTGCCGCAAGTTCACATGAACGTTAACATCCCACCCCACCCCACCCTGCGTGTGCGTAGCATCAACTGCTGCCGCAAGTTCACAGCGTGTGCGTAGCATCAACTGCTGCCGCAAGTTCACATGAACGTTAACATCCCACCCCACCCCACCCCCCAATCGTATTCAGGTTTATGCAGTTCCAGAAGCCTGGACAAGCCTATATATACATATAATATCGTGCCATACCTTGCCATTCCTATGTGTAAACAGTGTAAACGATCACAAGAACCGCATGGATGCATCTTGGTCCCCCTTCACGACGTTGTCTCTCCAGCCAAAAGCCTTTCCATCGAGACCTGTTGGAGCCAAGATGTGGCACGTGCTCATCTATACATGAAGACTGCCAAGCAGAACCAGAAATTTGTCGACTCCAAGTGGAGCAAATTTATTTGAATGAATTTTGAATCCTACGAGTATGTTACGACATAGCCATGCTGTAGCTCACCGAGCAGCTGCTCCACCCTCGGCTTCCGCTTCCACTGAGTATGGTGCCATGCCAAAGGAAGGAGTAGCTCCATCTGAGGCAGCCATCAAACGATGATCAAACGATCAACATGGGATGGAGCAGGTCATGCATTTGTGATTGACATGCACTTGCACCAGTCACTAGTCTATACCCTCTGGTAAACTAACATAAGTATGGAAAATCCCCATTTCTAATGGGTAAATCAACTATAAATGACCATTTTCAATAGCTATGTTTGTTTACCAGAGGGTACTCGTTTCATGGAGTTTCATCATTTCAGGATCTACACAGCCTCAAGGCGATTCATGTAACCGGTTGCTGTACCCACAAGGATAGTTGCTGCACGTGCCACCTGCAAGAAAACAGCAAGTATGGCTACCCAGGATAAAAACAAAATCGTAGCCTTGATCGGTAGTGCCTATGAACTTTTCACGGTTAAGTTCCATATATATATATATATTTTATATATATATATATTATATATATATTATATATATATAATATATAGTTATATAATATCACCACCGTTTTAAGGTGGGGGAACGTACCCAAAATGTAAGCTACATGTTTCAAGGTGTTTTTGAGGGGGGCCTTGAAAATGTGACTTGCATTTGAAGGTATTTTGAAGACCCTCCCCACAAAAACGGCACCTGGGGGACGTTCAGCAACCAATGTTTATATTTAAGGGGGGGAATCCCCAAAAATGTATCTTACATTTTGGTATGGTCCCCCCGTGAAAAGTAGCCTTAAAAGGGTGGTGATGAATAGAATTATATGATATTAATAAATAGGCATGTATATATATATATAAATATGTGTATATTAATTGATACTACAGTATATGCAGAATCAGTGGCCATCCTCTGTGGCCCTGTGGCCCATGGCATCGGCCTGTTGCTCTGTCCATCTTCTGACAACGTTGTCCGCCTCACCAGCCGTCTGAAGTGTCAACCAGCATGGAGCAAAGGTTGGGCAAAGGTTGGGCAAAGGTTTGCTTAGCCGAAATTGATGGAAGTTGCGGGCAGTTGGGGAATGGTCGCCAGCATCTGCAAGGCTGCTCAACTGAAAGAGACAAGTGTTATCCGACGGATTAGTTTGGTGAGGGAAAATCTTGTGAATTAGTTGGATAGCGAGTCAAATTCACACTAAATCACAACAAACAAGGTGGAATGGGAGAACTTACAACTTGGCGCAAGGCTTTCCAAGACTTATTATAGTTAGAACATGTTAGAACATGATAGAAGCAGAACACTGGTTCCCTGCATAAAGGGCCATCTAGTTGTGGGCCATTTTGGAGGTGAGGTGCGGCTTCCCCCAGCCTGCAGTTCTTGTCGCTGGGAAGGCTGCACCTGGCACTGCGTCATTGATTCCTCCTCGTGGGATATCCTGAGAGTCCTGGGATTTCTTGGAAACCAGGTTCATAGTGATTCATATACATATTTATGTAGCGATAATAATAATATATGATATGTATATATATATGTGATAAGTATATATTGCTGAGATATCTACATAACAAGAACAACATGGAACAACAATCATCTCATCCCAGCAATTTGATCCCAATCTTGGTCCTATCTGCCGTAACCGGAAAAAATATGCAAATCACAATTGAACGCAGATTCAAAGGATCCTTGGATAGAAAACGATCAGAGCAATCTCTGAAAGTCAGTCAAGGACCAGTTAATATCAATTCATTAGTTGTACAATTGCAAGCGAATCTGTTGGGAAATGCTGTTTTCCATCTCTTTCAGTGGTCTTCACAGAAAGCAAGACTCTCTTCCTGCACAAACTACAAGGCAAGAAACCTGACATAGTCATATTACATAATCAACAATGATCAATCATGATCAATCACAAAGCACATCCAGGCCAGGTGCGATTTTTTTCCGCTTCGGATATGGGTGAAATATGATCAAATATCATGTTGCACTGCTACCCCTGCAGTGTTGGACAATCGCCCCACAACAGGATCACTCATGATCACTTTGAAACTGCGATCTTCGTTGCTCTACTCATCAATCTTTGGAGCCAGGTAGAACTTCATGTGGCCATTTTCACCTGACTCCAAATCATACTTCACCAAGAGTGGGGCATCTGGACCCAATCCAAGTTCAACTGAGCCGCAAAGCTTTTCGGCCTACAAAAAGCAAGGGGTCGGCGAGATCTTTGGGTGACCAAAACGTCTGAGAGACGATTTAAAGTTAATTGCCATCATGCCGGGATAAGAGCACGCTCATGCGAGTTATCTCGGATGACTTTCATATACTTTGATATGGACAAATAAAATCAAACCGTCAAACCATATCAAAGCAAATAAGCACGGATCAATGACAACCTCTCCAATTCTGCAAGCAGCAAAACAAATTGACATTTTACATGTTTGCTATAATGTTATCTGATGTTATCTGTTAGCATGTCAGATTTCACATACACACTTTTAAGTGTCAGCATTCAACAAAATCACAAACAATACAAACATACATATGCTTTAGGCGGTTTTAGGTGTCCTTGGAGAAATTCACGAGGTAGCGAAGGGCGAAGGTGGCGGTCACGGGCTCATGAACTGTAAGGGTGACCTTTTCCTCGGGTTTCTCTCCTTCGCGAGGCTTCAAAACGACGTTACCACTGCCGAGATCGCCTTGAACCATGAACTTCAAGCCCTCTTTGCTTCCAGAAATTTGAATTGTTTCTCCAAATTCCTTGAGATCTCGGCAAATCTTCTGAAACTCTGCAGAAGGAATGCGTGCCACGACCTTGTAATGCTGCTCTGGAATCTCCATGTGTTCACTCTCGATGGTCATGAGCTTCAGATCAAAGTCTGCCAATCGATCGTCAGAACCTTCACACTGGAAATTCACGGTGTCTGCATCGTTTTGGTAGCGAATCTTCAACGAGTCATTGGTTCCAGTCATCTTCAAGATCTTGGTCAGGGAGTCAATGTTCATTCCCAAGGACACGGGACGCTCGCACTTGAACCTCAAGTCTGTTGCAATGCATTGCAGGAAACGCTGAGATGCTTGATCCGCGGCTATATTACATAATAATATGCTATTAGGCCCAATTATCCGCCGACCCCGGCCTTCGCAAAGGCAGGGGCGGCGCCTGGGACCACCGCAGGTGTGGAATTTGTTTTTCTTGGCTTCAAATGCCTCAATGCTTCGCGGCAGCTTCGATCCGCCTGCCGTTTGCCTCCATAGCCCCCTAAAACGCTTAAAACCCTTAAAATGCTTACAATCCCTCGCGGCAGCTTCCACCAAGCACTCTGGCCACAAGCATTTCTTGTTCGAGCGTTGCAGCGCGCCGTTTGCCTCCATAGCCCTCTGTTGTTAGAGCGTTGCCACATGCATTTGTTGTTCGAGCGTTGCAGCCTGCCGTTTGCCTCCATAGCCCTCTGCTGTTCGAGCGTTGCAGCCTGCCGTTTCCCTCCATAGCCCTCTGTTGTTCGAGCGTTGCAGCCTGCCGTTTGCCTCCATAGCCCTCTGTTGTTAGAGCGTTGCAGCCTTCCGTTTGCCTCCATATCCCTCTGTTGTTGCGGCGTTCAAGCCTGCCGTTTGCCAGCCTTAAAACCCTTAAAATGCTTAAAATCCCTCGCGGCAGCTTCCACCAAGCACTCTGGCCACAAGCATTTGTTGTTCGAGCGTTGCAGCTTCCCATTTGCCTCCATAGCCCTCTGTTGTTAGAGCGTTGCAGCCTGCCGTTTGCCTCCATAGCCCTCTGTTGTTAGGGCGTTCAAGCCTGCCGTTTGCCAGCCTTAAAATCTCTAAAACCCTTAACTTAAAATGCTTAAAATCCCTCGCGGCAGCTTCCACCAAGCACTCTGGCCACAAGCATTTGTTGTTCGAGCATTGCAGCTTCCCGTTTGCCTCCATAGCCCTCTGCTGTTAGAGCGTTGCAGCCTGCCGCTTGCCTCCATAGCCCTCTGTTGTTAGGGCGTTCAAGCCTGCCGTTTGCCAGCCTTAAAACCCCTAAAACCCCTAAAACCCTTAAAATGCTTAAAATCCCTCGGGGCAGCTTCCACCAAGCACTCTGGCCACAAGCCACAAGCATTTGTTGTTCGAGCGTTGCAGCTTCCCGTTTGCCTCCATAGCCCTCTGTTGTTAGAGCGTTGCAGCCTGCCGTTTGCCTCCATAGCCCTCTGTTGTTAGGGCGTTCAAGCCTGCCGCTTGCCAGCCTTAAAACCCCCTAAAACGCTTAAAATGCTTAAAATCCCTCACGGCAGTTTCCACCAAGCACTCTGGCCACAAGCATTTGTTGGTCGAGCGTTGCAGCCTGCCGTTTGCCTCCATAGCCTCTGTTGTTAGAGCGTTGCAGCCTTCCGTTTGCCTCCATATCCCTCTGTTGTTAGGGCGTGGCAAGCCTGATATTGCCAGCCTTAAAACCCCTAAAACCCTTAAAATGCTTAAAATCCCTCACGGCAGCTTCCACCAAGCACTCTGGCCACAAGCATTTGTTGTTCGAGCGTTGCAGCTTCCCGTTTGCCTCCATAGCCCTCTGCAGCCTGCCGTTTGCCTCCATAGCCCTCTTTGTTAGGGCGTTCAAGCCTGCCGTTTGCCAGCCTTAAAACCCCTAAAACCCTTAAAATGCTTAAAATCCCTCGCAGCAGCTTCCACCAAGCACTCTGGCCACAAGCATTTGTTTTTCGAGCGTTGCAGCTTCCCGTTTGCCTCCATAGCCCTCTGTTGTTAGAGCATTGCAGCCTGCCGTTTGCCTCCATAGCCCTCTGTTGTTAGGGCGTTCAAGCCTGCCGCTTGCCAGCCTTAAAACCCCTAAAACCCTCAAAATGCTTAAAATCCCTCGCGGCAGCTTCCACCAAGCACTCTGGCCACAAGCATTTGTTTTTCGAGCGTTGCAGCTTCCCGTTTGCCTCCATAGCCCTCTGTTGTTAGAGCATTGCAGCCTGCCGTTTGCTCCATAGCCCTCTGTTGTTAGGGCTCACATCGGCAAAATGGGCTGCTGGGCTGCTCAGTTCAAGCAAAGAAATTCATGAACTGGATTTATATACCTATATATATATATATTTAGAGATACATATATATATATAATTATATATATATGTGTGTATGTACATACATATGCCGGATATATATATATATATATTATATATATGCATTTATTTATTTATTCATTCATTCATGTATCTATATAGATATGTATATATATATATATGCGCATTCCTTCCTCTCCCCTTGAAAGACGGTCGGCGGCACCAGGGCGTTAGCCCATTTTAGGCTATTAGTCTGTCAACTGCACAGGAAGCATCTCTCGCTGGCTTGACTTCATCAGATTTCATTCGTACCAAACATATCGAAAAAATGCCTCGACAATCACGACAAATCTGCAAGATTTCGCAAGCAATGACTTCCACAACATGAATTGCCGAGTCACTCCGAAAAGGCACATTCCCTGAGCAACAGGGACACCAAAGCCACGTGCGAACTGTCCATGCATTGGACCTCAATGCCTTTTTCGGAGCAATCGAAATTCACGTCCTTGCACCTAAGCTATGCTGATCCATACCCAGGGAGTGAAACTGAACATGATTACTTTGCAGCGTTTTACGGATTGTTGCAGTACATCCATGCTGCAATGCTGCAACATGCTGCACCACGACATGCTGATGGAAAGCTACTCTAGACCTCATGCTGTGACTCTTACTTGCAGAAATCGATGGATTCCGACGGATTCCGATGGATATTGATGGATTTCGATGGATTTTGGTGATGCCACTGCTTCCCAATGCCGACTCGTCGTGTTCAGTCGAAGCACAGGTCTTTCATGGACTCTGCCACCTTCTTCAAGAGGGAAGCATGCTGGAGCTGTGCCTCGAGAACCATTTTGGCGGATTGAGACTTTCCCCTTCGAGTTTGAGCCAAGATCCTCACTGGAAAGTGCCATGGCACGGGAGGCTGCAATCATCACACTTTGCAAACCTCTGGAACGGTGAGATACACTACTTCCATGAGTATCCCATGGTAAAACCAAGATACCTGGCCAATCATAACGAACACCTGCTTGGAACCATTCATTCTATTTTGATCTATTTTGTGTGTGTGTGTTACATCAAACAAATCAATCATGCAATCACACAAATAGAATTCAGTGCCCATCCAGGTGCGATTTTTTTCCGCTTCGGATATGGGTGAAATATGATCAAATATCATGTTGCACTGCTACCCCTGCAGTGTTGGACAATCGCCCCACAACAGGATCACTCGTGATCACTTTGAAACTGCGATCTTCGTTGCTCTACTCATCAATCTTTGGAGCCAGGTAGAACTTCATGTGGCCATTTTCACCTGACTCCAAATCATACTTCACCAAGAGTGGGGCATCTGGACCCAATCCAAGTTCAACTGAGCCGCAAAGCTTTTCAGCCTGCAAAAAGCAAGGGGTCGGCGAGATCTTTGGGTGACCAAAACGTCTGAGAGACGATTTAAAGTTAATTGCCACCATGCCGGGATAAGAGCACGCTCATGCGAGTTATCTCGGGTGACTTTCGTATATTTTGATATGGACAAATAAAATCAAACCGCCAAACCATATCAAAACAAATAAGCACGGATCAAAGACAACCTCTCCAATTCTGCAAGCAGCAAAACAAATTGACATTTTACATGTTTGTTATAATGTTATTTGATGTTATCTGTTAACATGTCAGATTTCACATACACACTTTCAAGTGTCAGCATTCAACAAAATCACAAACAATACAAACATGCACATGTTTTAGGCGGTTTTCGGTGTCCTTGGAGAAATTCACGAGGTAGCGAAGGGCGAAGGTGGCGGTCACGGGCTCATGAACTGTAAGGGTGACCTTTTCCTCGGGTTTCTCTCCTTCGCGAGGCTTCAAAACGACGTTACCACTGCCGAGATCGCCTTCAACCATGAACTTCAAGCCCTCTTTGCTTCCAGAAATTTGAATTGTTTCTCCAAATTCCTTGAGATCTCGGCAAATCTTCTGAAACTCTGCAGAAGGAATGCGTGCCACGACCTTGTAATGCTGCTCTGGAATCTCCATGTGTTCACTCTCGAAGGTCATGAGCTTCAGATCAAAGTCTGCCAATCGATCGTCAGAACCTTCACACTGGAAATTCACGGTGTCTGCATCGTTTTGGTAGCGAATCTTCAACGAGTCATTGGTTCCAGTCATCTTCAAGATCTTGGTCAGGGAGTCAATGTTCATTCCCAAGGACACGGGACGCTCGCACTTGAACCTCAAGTCTGTTGCAATGCATTGCAGGAAACGCTGAGATGCTGGAGCCGCTGCTATGTTACATAATATGCTATTAGGCTGCCAGTAGTGCTGCACAAGGCGGTGGCGGAAGTTTCAAGGATAGGACAGTATAGGAGAGGTGAGTTGTTGTGATGCATGGATGGCAGAGCGAATCCGCTGATGAACCGAAAGGTGGTTGGAGCTGTGTTTTTTTTGGAGCGGTTGCAATGGTTGCGGTGGTCACCTCACTCACAGCTCCTGGATGTAGTGTGGTGTAGTGCAGTAGTTGTAGTTGTAGTTGTAGTGGGGTTGATGTTGTTGAAGTTGTAATGTTGTAGTCGTAATTGTAGTTGTAATTGTAGTGTAGCTGAAATGCAGTTGAAGTTGTACTTGCCTTATTTTGTAGTACTTGCAGTAGCTGCAATAGTTGTAGGAGTTGTAGCTGTAGTTGCAATTGTAGTTGTAGTGTATGTAGGAGTTCTAGTGTTAGTTGTAACTGTAGTTGTAGTTGTAGTTGTAGGTGTAGTGTCGCAGTAATTGTTGTTGTTGTACTTCTTGTTGTTGTTGTTGTGTAGTTGTAGTTGAAGTTGAAGTGGTAGTTGAAGTGTAGTTGTAGTGTAGCGGAAGTTGCACTTGTAGTTGTAGTTGCAGCTGTAGTTGCAGTTGCAGTTGTAGTGTAGTTGAAGTAGTTGTTGCAGTTGGAGTTGTAGTTGTATCAGTGGCACTTGAAATTAGTAACTGTAGTTGAAGGTAGCTGAAGTGTACTTAAAGTTGCAGTTGTGGTTGTAGCTGTAATTCTTGAAGTTGAAGTGTAGTTGAAGTGAGCGATCGGCAAAACCTCAATTGAAAAATGCGATTTAGGGTCGAAGTTATCGTTTTTGGGACTTCACTATATCGTTTTACAATATGTCCTGATTGCATCATCCGCATCCCCTGGCAAACTGCATGCGGAAAGCCTTTTTACACCTCCACTTCGGCGTCTGCAGCATCTTTGACTGCCCTGCGCTTTCTTTTCCAGCTATTCAACTGTATGGTGTGGTATGATACCTGCCAACGCAACTGCAAATCACAGTTGCACCATCCTTTCTCCAGCTCAGAAACAAGCTTTGAATTCAGTTTGTTGGAAGAAGCCCGGATGAGCTCTCACAGCGACATGCTCCATGCCTTTCATTCACTCGCCAGCGTCTGCGTAGCAAACCATCGACATGGTCCAATGCCTTTGCCTTGGCTATCTTCATCTAGGATAAAGATCGTCAAACCGGACCTGCAGGTGCAGTTGTGTCCGAGATGAACCGGGATTGACTAAAGCAACGGAGCGCTGCAAAAGAATATGCATAGCAGCGAAAAGATCGCAATAAGCAAGTGATAATATTCATCGGCAAAGAATCATCTCAAGAATCTTTTCGCATCTGGGCCCTCCATCAGCGAAGGACATTTTGTCAAGAAATGCTTATCGTTTCGTTATCGCTTTCGTTGTCGTTCAAAGAGGGAAACTTTTTTGGTAAAATGGCATGAACCAAGGAAAGTTGGAAAGGAGACCTGTTGTCATCGTCACTGCTAGCATGAAAGCGCGACAATACAAAACGCTCATCCGGAAGGCTTGAACAATGGCGAGACAAAAAGAGCATCCAAATCCAGCTAGTTACCACATAACAATACGTGATTGGATACAAAACCGTTTGCAATAATCAGAAATAAAGAAATTTGCCAGCATCAAGAGTGTCAGCACACAACTGAGAGCATAGATGATCCAGATGCTTCTAGAACAGGTATCCACCATCATGTCATGTACACCACTCCTTCACTTCCCACAATGCTTTCACATATGATGTGATTCCCACGTTATCGTTTTTGGGACTTCACTATATCGTTTTACATATCAAGATGCATATTTTTACATGATAAATCGCTCGAATACAGACCTCCTACACGGAGAGTTTAGCCTCTTTCTCAAGTGTAGCTGAGGTTGTAGCTGTAGTGGTGTAGTTGTAATTAGTTGTAGTTGTAGTGTGGTGTAGTGCGGTTGCAGTTGTCTATCTACCTGTCTAACTATATATTTGTTTATCTATTTGTCTTTCTGTCTGTCTATCTATCTATCTGCAAGATTGAAAACGAAGCTATTCTGCCAGACTTCCTCAATTTTTGAACTTGACAACATCAAAAACGCAGCAATTCTGCGAGACTTCCTCAACTTTTGAACGTGACAACGTCAAAAACGAAACTATTCTGCGAGACCTCCTCAATTCTTCAAGTTGACAACATCAAAGCCAAAGCAATTCTGCGAGACTTCCTTCAAAAATGGAAAGTTGAGTGCAAAGCTGACAGCCTCGTACCAATGCGTTTTGCGATTTTGCCACTCCATCTGTCTAAAGTACTGCGCCTGCCACGAAAAGTGATGCCGGGTCATACGAAGTGCTGCACCCGTCACGCGAAATCATCTTAGCAAACCTGAAGATCTGATGCTCCAAAGATGCAACCCCTCTCAGGAAATCAGCGCCCGGACCCCTAACATCTCTGATGAAGATGTCTCTTGTACTGTGCCTGCCACGCAAAATGCATCTTTCCAGATCCTCTTCAAATGTCCCATGGCTGCCATCGTTTTTGGAAATGCGACAAAACCCTCACATTTTGCTCACTTTTGGCAAGGTGCAGAATCCCTTGCGCATGCCACGCAAAATCACATCTGAACCTTCTAAAGTGGTCCGAGCATGTGGTGCTTTTGACATTTTGACCTGGATACGCGCTTCGCGCCACAACAGCGTACACTTTTTCGACGAGTCAACTTCCAATAGTGGTCCAAGCATGGTGTGTTTTGTACATTTTGACTTGGCAATGTGCTTCGCGCCACAACGGCGTGCAATTTTTAATCTCACATCTGGCCAGATGGCTCCGCACCCGCTTTCCACAAATCATTGGAAAAACGCAGTGTTTCGCGACTTTCCTACCTTTTCGTGCACCTGCATCTCCTTTCTTCTGACTTTCTCTTCTTTGATCTTCTTTCTTCTTCTCCTCTCTTCTCTTCTCTCCTCTTCTCTTCTCTGACTCTTCCCATCTCTGCTTTTCATCTGTCCATATTGCCGGAAGTATGACTTCTAAACTTCCTTCCATTAGTCTGTCAACTGCACAGGAAGCATCTCTCGCTGGCTTGACTTCATCAGATTTCATTCGTACCAAACATATCGAAAAAATGCCTCGACAATCACGACAAATCTGCAAGATTTCGCAAGCAATGACTTCCACAACATGAACTGCCGAGTCACTCCGAAAAGGCACATTCCCTGAGCAACAGGGACACCAAAGCCACGTGCGAACTGTCCATGCATTGGACCTCAATGCCTTTCTCGGAGCAATCGAAATTCACGTCCTTGCACCTAAGCTATGCTGATCCATATGATATCGTATGATCCATACCCAGTAATACCCTGGGAATGAAAATGAACATGATTACTTTGCAGCGTTTTACGGATTGTTGCAGTACATCCATGCTGCAATGCTGCAACATGCTGCACCATGACATGCTGATGGAAAGCTACTCTAGACCTCATGCTGTGACGCTTACTTGCAGAAATCGATGGATTCCGATGGATTCCGATGGATATTGATGGATTTCGATGGATTTTGGTGATGCCACTGCTTCCCAATGCTGACTCGTCGTGTTGCGGTCGAAGCACAGGTCTTTCATGGACTCTGCCACCTTCTTCAAGAGGGAAGCATGCTGGAGTTGTGCCTCGAGAACCATTTTGGCGGATTGAGACTTACCCTTTTTTCGGTGAGCTTGAGCCAAGATCGATCCTGGACCACTGCATTTGTTGGATGATCAAAGCCAACAGCTGCCCACCACGAGTGGTGGGGGGTCGGCAAGGTGAGCATAGACTGGAAAGCCCTGGCATGCCCTGGCTATTACACTTCATGGAAACATATGGAAACCTGTTCTAGGGATTTCTAGGGAACAAGAGGAAGGATGGTCCCTGGTGCACCCCATGTCTGGTGACACTAGGAAAACTTGTAGGCGGCACAAGCTGCAGCACCTCTCGTTGCTGCAACTGCTCCTTGGAAGTAATGAAATACCAATACTTCAAGCAGTAGACTAGCGGCATTTCAACATCAACGCAAGTTGCCGAAAAGTTGAATGCTCTTAAAAACTGGCTGACAACTCCGTGAGGATCACAGAGTGCGGCTTTCAACTAACTGTTACTAACTACTTGTGGCAGTGTCATCGGATGTCATCGTGACAGTGACCGGATGTGACAGGAATGGATAGCTGGAGAGCCAGCAAAAACCACTGGGGAGCAGGCGGTTTTTGCTTCTAACTCCACCTTTGGATTCAGGTGGAAAGCAAACAGCCACCTAGTTCACTTGAGATTGTTTGATGAAGTCCAGGATTCCTCGGGTTTCCAGGGTATTCCAGGGTCACAGCTCTGCCAACTTGATGTGTGATGAAGTGCAATGGAATATCCTCCATGTATAATCATTTATAGATGATGGTCGGAGGGTAATGATTCCTAAATGGACCCATTTTTCGAAGTTTCCCTAGACTGCACCAGCTACGAAGGGACAGTGGTACTCGCCTTCAGGTCTTCTATTCTCTTGTGCAGACCCGGCACCTTGCAACTCCGTTTAAGACAGTTGCGCGCCAAAAACACACATATAAAAAAAACATAAAATACAATTCTGACTCTGTGTCTCTTCTAGTCACATTCTGCATCAGAAGTTGGCAAATATGTGCCTCGGCTGAAAGCTGCTGAAGCTCTTGAACTTTCCGGGCCGCAGCGGCTTCTGCTGTGCGCAGAGATTGGACCTGCCAAAACAATAACAAAGAAAGACAAGCAAATCTCCTAAATTCAGCTTATTCATATCTCATTTAAAGATATACTGTATACATTTCCACAGATCACAAATGACGGCCCTGCACACCGCTCAGCAACCGCCTACCGCATCCCATGGCTCGAAACATATCGAGTCATCTCGAAATATGTCAAAACCAAAAGTCTGATAACATCTATCCATGAAAGGGTCTTTCACTGACGGATTTCAGCATCTCATTCATCTGCACGCGTATCTCTCTGCATTCCAGACATCTGCATACATTTCTATCCAACAGATCGAACAGATAGTTCGTGTGCCCCTCAAAGATTCAACAACGGTTTGCCCCGCCTCATCTTGTGACAGTTCAGCAGCAGCCTGAAATCGAACAGGGGTTGACTGCGTGGCTCTTGCACGCCCCCAAGATGCGTATTTCTCACATGTTTTTAACATCGCAACTAAACAGCATATTTCACACATAAGACATAAACAAGAAAAGCAACATCATACAGTATAAGATCAATAGGTGTGGTTCCAACAGAACAGTCTCAGAATCATTCAACCCCCACCAATCTCGCCTGCAAATCCTGCACTTTTTGGCGTAGCCCCGGAACCTTGCAACGTTAATCAACGCAAAATGTTGACTACACCCAGGTTGAGAAGGAATCAGGAAAATGCAAAAAGTGAATATTTTATACATATTGTTAATATATTATATATATATAGTAATAATAATAATACTAATAATATATACAACATATTTGCCAAAGGAAGTTTAGTTAGAAAACTTCCGAGCTACGGACGATTGTCATGGTCAGCATTTCCATCATCATGTCAACCACAGGATCATGTCAACCATGTGTTTTTTTGGGGTATAGCGAGAGCTCGATTTGCACTTCAAAATCGCAAAAAACTGACAGGGAGGGAGAAGTTTTGGAAGATGGCTAGACTATCCGAACAATCTATCTAAGAGCCACTGAGAGCAAAGGAAAAAACCTGAAAACATTCAGCTGAAAGTATTCAGCAAAATTGCGAATATTGCAGGCTATACTCACGCGGGCAGGACATCACTCATCATCACTCCCACCTCTTCCTCGAGACAGTGCAGCCGCTGTAACTTCTCCTGTGTCCCTTCGTCTGTGGAAGCAGGACGCTCAGCCTCCAATTCCCGATGCTTGGCTGGACTGCATTTCACTCCAAAATTCTTCCCAAACGTCATGAGATACAACTCTCATGCAACTCTCATACTCTCATTTGCGTCTCTTCTAGAAGCAACTCATAGCAAAAGTCCGCAGACATGTTCTTGTCCGTTCAAATCTGGATTGTCTGAGCTGGCCTCTGCCAAGAGCTGTTGTAGCTCTTGAACTTTCTGGGCCGCAGCGGCTTCTGCTGTGCGCAGAGATTGGACCTGCCAAGTCAATAACAAACAATGTTTGTTCAAAGACAAACAAATCTCCCAAATTCAGCTCATTTCATTATGCTCATAGACTCATACCTTTATTTCCACAGATCACAACTGGCAGTTCTGCACACGGCTCAGCAACAGCCTACATCAGCCTACCGCACCCCATGGCTCGAAACATCTCGAAACATCTCGTTAAACACGTGAAATCCTAAACCTCGATAACGCCTGTCCATTCAAGTTATATAAGTTATGACATAAAGGGTTTTCCATGGTTTTCCACTGAAACATCTCATTCACCTGCCCTGAAACATCTCCCTGCATTCCAGACATCTGCATACATCATCTCTGTCGCATGCAGATCGCATAGATAGTTCGTGTGCCCCTCCAAGGTTCAACAACGGTTTGCCCCGCCTCATCTTGTGACTCTTCAGCAGCGGCCTGAAATCGATGACCAAGTGGGGCCCATTGGGCACTTCCGCTAGTGGCGACATGCCGACGGTGTTTTTGGGGGGGGGTGAGCCACGGCCAAACCAGCCAGGGGGGAAGGGAGGGGGTTAACTATGAAGTTTCTTGCGATTGGAGATTCCAGCCCCACCAATACCTTGCTAACGCAAGAGGGACTTGACTTAAGCTAGCAGGAGCTAGCTTTCGTGAAAACGCTGACCAAAGAGCAGTATGTCACTGTGTCATCAAGATCCGCCACAAACACAAACCCACAGGGGCCGACTGTCTCCTCACTGCGTAAACCTTGCACGTCCCCAAAATGTACATTTCTCACTTTTTTTTTGTCACATTGCAAACAAACCACATATCTCACACGCAATACTTGCCGCGGACGAAATTTGTAAACATAACGCAATCGACGGCGTGTTCCTACCTCGTTCTCCAGTCCTGTAGCGTTTTTTGGGGGCCTGATCTGGCTTTCCAACGCCGCACTTGTTTTTAATAGCTCATTGTTTTACATGCGATGTCTACCTTGTTCTTGGGATGTTCCCACCTCGTTTTACAACCTAACTATCATGTTTTCGACAAACTGGGGTATGCTCCAATACTACTCTCCATTTAACCAAATAAAAGCCGTCACTCACATAAACAAGAAAAACCTATAGAGAAACCTAGAAAAATGACATCATTGTGTGGATCTGATAGAACTTTCTCAAAATCATTCAAAACCCGTCTTTCCCACTCGGCTTTACGATATTCACATTCGTCCTAACTGGCAGCAAACCCATTTCGCCATATCTCGCCTGCAATTCCTGCACTTTTTGGCGTAGCCCCGGAACCTTGCAATGTTTAATCAACACAAAAATTGACTACTACACTAAGGTTGAGCATTCAAAAAATTACAAACATGGCGGTAAGATATGAAGCTTCAGTAATTATGCATAACAATGCATCAAAATCACCAAGAACTGCAGGGTAGCAAGAGGACCACAGTTTCGTAATCAAAGTGCTGTCATTCTTGTCATTTAAATGTTTCAATTTTGGCTTATCTACACTGCTAGACTATCCAAACAATCTGCCGGAGAGCAAAGGAAAATACAGCCAAAAGAATCCAAAAGAATTCAACAAAAATACAGGCTATACTGGCTATACTCACGCGGGCAAGGCATCACCCATCATCAGTCCCACCTCTTCCTCGAGACAGTGCAGTTGCTGTAACTTCTCCAGTGTCCCTTCGTCTGTAGAAGCAGGACGCTCAGCCTCCAATTCCCGATGCTTGGCTGGACTGCATTTCACTCCAAAATTCTTCCCAAACGTCATGAAATGCAACTCCTATGCAACTCTCATACTCTCGTTTGCATCTCTTCTAGCAGCAACTCATGGCAAGAGTCCGCAGACATGTTCTTGTCTGTTCGAATCTGGATTGTCTGAGCTGGCCTCTGCCAAGAGCTGTTGTAGCTCTTGAACTTTCTGGGCCGCAGCGGCTTCTGCTGTGCGGAGAGATTGGACCTGCCAAGTCAATAACAAACAAAGACAAACAAATCTCCCAAATTCAGCTCATAGATGTAATGGACTTGTCATTGTCACCATATTTGCACCGATCACAATTGACAGCCCACCTCTTCTTGGAGTCTCTCGGACTGGTCAGCAGTCGCCTCATGCAACTGACAAAGCAGCAGGGGCCAACTGTCATCACTGCGGGGCTCTTGCACGTCCCAAGGGCCGCATGTCTCATGGCCGTTTTCTACTACAAAAACAAACAAAAGAATGATAAAAATAGAAGCAAAGCAAATTCACAGCAAAGCAGACATCATCTGTCCCTCTTAACGATCCTAACAGATCCCAAAAGTGCGTAGAGCAATTCCCACCCCGCTCGAAGATATCAATGTTGCACTGGCATCATTCCAATCTCGCCTGCAACTCCTGCACTTTTTGGCGTAGCCCCGGAACCTTGCCATGTTCAATCGACATAACATTTGGATACATTTGGACCACACTCAGGTTGAGCATGAAAATGCGAAAAAAGCCAAAACGATATGGAGCTTGAGCAACTATCCACAAGTATGCATCAAAACATCAAGAATTGAAAGGCAGCAAGGGGCCAATAAGGGCCACCGTTGTTTAATCCAAATGTTGCCATTTTTGTCATTGAATGGTTCGTTTTTGGCCTATCTCCACTGCTAGACTACCCAAACAATTTATCTGAGAGCCATTGAGAACAAGGGTGAAAAACAAAGCTAAAGAGGCTAAAAGTATTCAACAAAATTACAGGCTATACTGGCTATACTCACTCGGGCAAGGCATCACTCATCATCAGTCCCACCTCTTCCTCGAGACAGTGCAGTTGCTGTAACTTCTCCCGTGTCCCTTCGTCTGTGGAAGCAGGACGCTCAGCCTCCAATTCCCGATGCTTGGCTGGACTGCATTTCACTCCAAAATTCTTCCCAGACATCATAAAATGCAACTCCTATGCAACTCTCATACTCTCGATTGCATCTCTTCTAGTAGCAACTCATGGCAAAAGTCCGCAGACATGTTCTTGTCTGCTCGAATCTGGATTGTCTGAGCTGGCCTCTGCCAAGAGCTGTTGCAGTTCTTGAACTTTCTGGGCCGCAGCGGCTTCTGCTGTACGAAGAGATTGGACCTGCCAAGTCAATAACAAACAATGTTTGTTCAAAGACAAACAAATCTCCCAAATTCAGCTCATTTATGCTCATAGAATCTCATAGATGTAATGGACTTGTCATTGTCACCATATTTGCACCGATCACAATTGACAGCCCACCTCTTCTTGGAGTCTCTCGGACTGGTCAGCAGTCGCCTCATGCAACTGACAAAGCAGCAGGGGCCAACTGTCATCACTGCGGGGCTCTTGCACGTCCCAAGGGCCGCATGTCTCATGGCCGTTTTCTACTACAAAAACAAACAAAAGAATGATAAAAATAGAAGCAAAGCAAATTCACAGCAAAGCAGACATCATCTGTCCCTCTTAACGATCCTAACAGATCCCAAAAGTGCGTAGAGCAATTCCCACCCCGCTCGAAGATATCAATGTTGCACTGGCATCAATCCAATCTCGCCTGCAACTCCTGCACTTTTTGGCGTAGCCCCAGAACCTTGCCATGTTCAATCGACATAACATTTGGATACATTTGGACCACACTCAGGTTGAGCATGAAAATGCGAAAAATGCCAAAACGATATGGAGCTTGAGCAACTATCCACAAGTATGCATCAAAACATCAAGAATTGAAAGGCAGCAAGGGGCCAATAAGGGCCACCGTTGTGTAATCCAAATGTTGCCATTTTTGTCATTGAATGGTTCGTTTTTGGCCTATCTCCACTGCTAGACTATCCAAACAATTTATCTGAGAGCCATTGAGAACAAGGGTGAAAAACAAAGCTAAAGAGGCTAAAAGTACTCAACAAAATTACAGGCTATACTGGCTATACTCACATGGGCAAGGCATCACTCATCATCACTCCCACCTCTTCCTCGAGACAGTGCAGCCGCTGTAACTTCTCCTGTGTCCCTTCGTCTGTGGAAGCAGGACGCTCAGCCTCCAATTCCCGATGCTTGGCTGGACTGCATTTCACTCCAAAATTCGTCCCAAACGTCATGAGATACAACTCTCATGCAACTCTCATACTCTCGTTTGCGTCTCTTCTAGAAGCAACTCATGGCAAAAGTCCGCAGACATGTTCTTGTCCGTTCAAATCTGGATTGTCTGAGCTGGCCTCTGCCAAGAGCTGTTGTAGCTCTTGAACTTTCTGGGCCGCAGCGGCTTCTGCTGTGCGCAGAGATTGGACCTGCCAAGTCAATAACAAACAATGTTTGTTCAAAGACAAACAAATCTCCCAAATTCAGCTCATTTATGCTCATAGAATCTCATAGATGTAATGGACTTGTCATTGTCACCATATTTGCACCGATCACAATTGACAGCCCACCTCTTCTTGGAGTCTCTCGGACTGGTCAGCAGTCGCCTCATGCAACTGACAAAGCAGCAGGGGCCAACTGTCATCACTGCGGGGCTCTTGCACGTCCCAAGGGCCGCATGTCTCATGGCCGTTTTCTACTACAAAAACAAACAAAAGAATGATAAAAATTGAAGCAAAGCAATTTCACAGCAAAGCAGACATCATGTGTCCCTCTTAACGATCCTAACAGATCCCAAAAGTGCGTAGAGCAATTCCCACCCCGCTCGAAGATATCAATGTTGCACTGGCATCAATCCAATCTCGCCTGCAACTCCTGCACTTTTTGGCGTAGCCCCAGAACCTTGCCATGTTCAATCGACATAACATTTGGATACATTTGGACCACACTCAGGTTGAGCATGAAAATGCGAAAAATGCCAAAACGATATGGAGCTTGAGCAACTATCCACAAGTATGTATCAAAACATCAAGAATTGAAAGGCAGCAAGGGGCCAATAAGGGCCACCGTTGTTTAATCCAAATGTTGCCATTTTTGTCATTGAATGGTTCGTTTTTGACCTATCTCCACTGCTAGACTATCCAAACAATTTATCTGAGAGCCATTGAGAACAAGGGTGAAAAACAAAGCTAAAAGAGGCTAAAAGTACTCAACAAAATTACAAGCTATACTGGCTATACTCACGCGGGCAAGGCATCACTCATCATCAGTCCCACCTCTTCCTCGAGACAGTGCAGTTGCTGTAACTTCTCCCGTGTCCCTTCGTCTGTAGAAGCAGGACGCTCAGCCTCCAATTCCCGATGCTTGGCTGGACTGCATTTCACTCCAAAATTCTTCCCAAACGTCATGAAATGCAACTCCTATGCAACTCTCATACTCTCGATTGCATCTCTTCTAGTAGCAACTCATAGCAAAAGTCCGCAGACATGTTCTTGTCTGCTCGAATCTGGATTGTCTGAGCTGGCCTCTGCCAAGAGCTGTTGTAGCTCTTGAACTTTCTGGGCCGCAGCGGCTTCTGCTGTACGAAGAGATTGGACCTGCCAAGTCAATAACAAACAAAGACAAACAAATCTCCCAAATTCAGCTCATTTATGTTCATAGAATCTCATAGATGTATAGACTTGTCATTGTCACCAAATTTGCACCGATCACAATTGACAGCCCACCTCTTCTTGGAGTCTCTCGGACTGATCAGCAGTCGCCTCATGCAACTGACGAAGGCTGACGAAGGCGCTTGATTTGCCATGTTCAATCCCCACAACATTTGGATACATATGGGCCACACTCAGGTAGAGCATGAAAATGCGAAAAATGCCAAAACGATATGGAGCTTGAGCAACTATCCACAGGTATGCATCAAAAAAGGGCAGCAAGGGTCCACATGTTTGTAGTCATTTTTTGTCATTCTTGTCATTGAATGGTTCAATTTGGGCCTATCTACACTGCTAGACTATCCAAACAGTCTATCTGAGAGCCATTGAGAACAAGGGTGAAAAACAAAGCTAAAGAGGCTAAAAGTACTCAACAAAATTACAAGCTATACTGGCTATACTCACGCGGGCAAGGCATCACTCATCATCAGTCCCACCTCTTCCTCGAGACAGTGCAGTTGCTGTAACTTCTCCCGTGTCCCTTCGTCTGTGGAAGCAGGACGCTCAGCCTCCAATTCCGGATGCTTGGCTGGACTGCATTTCACTCCAAAATTCTTCCCAGACATCATAACTCTCATGCTCTCGATTGCATCTCTTCTAGTAGCAACTCATGGCAAAAGTCCGCAGACATGTTCTTGTCTGTTCGAATCTGGATTGTCTGAGCTGGCCTCTGCCAAGAGCTGTTGTAGCTCTTGAACTTTCTGGGCCGCAGCGGCTTCTGCTGTGCGGAGAGATTGGACCTGTCAATAACAAACAAAGACAAACAAATCTCCCGAATTCAGCTCATAGATGTAATGGACTTGTCATTGTCACCAAATTTGCACCGATCACAATTGACAGCCCACCTCTTCTTGGAGTCTCTCGGACTGATCAGCAGTCTCCTCATGCAACAGAAGGGCACAGAGGCAGACTGTCTTATGACTGTGGGGCCTTGGCAAGTCTCACAGTTTTGCATATCTTGCACGGTTTCTTCTACCAGGTCAAAACTGATCACAAATAAGTATCAAAAATCCGAACCAAGTAAACATCATCGCACGTCAAGAATTCTGTGTGTGGGTCTCAACAGTAGAGCTCTTCTAAACTCCACTTAAAGAATCTTAAAGACATCCGCAGGCATCCTACACAGGCAGCAAATCAATCTCGCCTGCGATTCCTGCACCTTTTGGCGCAGGCCCAGAACCTTGCAGTGATTGATCAAAATGGCAGGGTGGAAGGGCAGCACCGTGTGATTCATCCTTTAATGGTCATCTAAGTTCTGGATGTCCAGCAAATTCTCGGCCATATCCAAAGCATTTGATATAGCTGCAATGCAAGAAGAATGGCAAGACATACAGTGAATATAGTATACTCATGATGCGATTATAACATATATATTATATACATATATATATATATACATATATATATATATAATGCCCACGAAGAAACAAAGATCACTCGCTATACCCACACCTCCTTCTCAAGACTTTGCAGCTGCTGCAACTTCTGCATATTCCCCTGGACAGCCGGGTCTATAAGATTGAGCGCGTGTTTGCGGAAATTGTCACTGCAGCCACTCTGGTAGAGTGACTGAGTGGCTCAATGCGTGATGTTACCTTTAGGTTTGGGGTTGGGGGTTGGGGGGTTTAGGGGGTGGGGTGGTGGTGGCTGAGTTGCTGAGTGGCTAAGTGGCTGAGTGGCTGAGTGACTGGTGCAGCCACTCTGCCAGAGTGGCTGAGTCCAGTGGCTGCTTCGATTGCTCGTGCCTCACTGCTCATCCACTCTAAACTTGCAATCTTGCAAGTTGTACTCTTTGCTTCAATGAACTGCATTGCGAAAAAGGTAACTTCCCTAGCTCTAGCACAAGGTAACACAAGGCAACTAGCAAACGGACAAATATATAAATATACATATAAATATAAATATATATATACTATATATATACTATATATATACTATATATATACTATATATATATATACTATATATATATACTATATATATACTATATATATACTATATATATACTATATATATACTATAAATATATATACTATAAATATATATACTATAAATATATATATATACTATAAATATATATCCTATAAATATATATCCTATAAATATATATGCTATAAATATATATATATATATATACTATAAATATATATACTATAAATATATATACTATATATATATACTAAAAATATATACTATAACTATATATATATACTTTATACATATATATATATATAGACTTTATACATATATATAATATACTATAAATATATATACTATAAATATATATATACTATAAATATATATACTATAAATATATATACTATAAATATATATATATATATATTATAATTATCACACTTTCTCTCTCTTCCTTTCCAAAGCTGCCCATGCTTCCATGTTAGAAGCAGTCAAGCTTGACACGATGCTGAATTGAAGTCTTCCAAGTCAGCAGTGGACCACCAAATGACAGAAAGATGAAGTCAAAAAGAATCACGATTGTCGCTTCCAGCAAGGGCGGGCGGCCCGAGGGGAAATGCTTGAGCGGGTCAATCTCATTCGTTCATGTGATACAAAGCATCACACTTTCTCTCTCTTCCTTTCCAAAGCTGCCCATGCTTCCATGTTAGAAGCAGTCAAGCTTGACACGATGCTGAATTGAAGTCTTCCAAGTCAGCAGTGGACCACCAAATGACAGAAAGATGAAGTCAAAAAGAATCACGATTGTCGCTTCCATCATCTGGGTCCTGCGCCTTTGCGCACCTCATGCAAAATATGAAAGAACAAGCCATTGCATGCAGTGCAAAAGTCTGAAATCATTTTACGTGACGAAGCACTCAAGTTATGCTCCATGACTTGTGCGGCTACTTCCTGTAAATAGAATTCAAGTGTTTTGACTCGACTCCAACGCCCTCTCCCACAAATCAGAGGGATGTCCTCTGTCATCAAGTAAAGCGCTGTCGCTCCGGAACCCCGGAGCGTCCCAGGTGTCAGCCCATGTTGAATCTGTAAATAGGGGATACCAAACCGCTTCATGATAGCATTCCACTGATTGCGATACATACCCAAAGAACCATCGTATAACCTGCTGTCCAAAGCTGCATCACCAAACACTGCATCAACAAAGGATATAATATCAGGGTCATCGACCTTGACATGTTGTTGCCGTGCAAACCTGTAGGTCTTGGGATTGGTGAGATGCACGTACAAAACACTGATATGAAAATTTGTGTCGCGAGGAAGCATCAAATTTCTGCGCTTGAGAAACAGGAACTCTGAGGGATGCAGCATTCCAGCAAAACCAATCATGGTCACTGCAGCCCAACGCCACCACCGCCACAATAAAGCAAGTGCAAGTACGGCTTTGAAGGTAGCTAAGGACAAGACGGGTCGACACTTGCCAGGTTCAGCTACTTGCCATTTCCGATCAATGTGCCATGCACTGCTCAAGAAAGGTCGATGTTGTGGGAATTGGTCTTGTATGGCAGTCAAGGTGTAGACATACATATATCTAGGAAAACCAGACCGGAACAAATGCATCCCATAGGCCCTAAGTGCAAGACACGTGCCCTGAGAATCAGCCAAAATGGCATCCACGTCCATCTTCATTTCTTCACCCACCCACATTGCAAACGCTGCTAGGCAACGAGACATGCGATTTGATGTGGCCTTGCAAAAACCTACTGTCATGTCAAGTTCGCCGCGTTCAGGTCGGCTGGTATGCTGAAAATTTTTAGGCCCGGGATTTCTCTCCACATCACCCGCCAAAAGTAACAAAAGCCGTACCCACCGGCCAAGGAGTCTAGGGAACCGTGCTGACTGGCAGATCAAATCAAACTGCCTGTAATCCCCCTTTCCCAAATCCAAGTACCACTGTGGCAATGGACGGCTCGGCGGGAGTACCTCATTGTCACGAGAGGGGGCATCGGCTCTATTATCTCCGGAGTACACATGTAAGCCACCAGGATATAAATTAGAACCAAGAATGTAGGGAATAGCTTGCTTCAATACCCGGGAGATGGCATAGCTACTTGAACGACCCTTTGCAGCAGCCCCCAAAGCAACGCGGCTGTCTTGGAGACCGAGAACCCTGCTGTCTCGATGCTGTTTGGCACAATGCTTTAGCCAGGACAGATACACCCTAGTCTCTAAGACATTGATATGGTTACTACTCTTAAAGCGGTATTTGAACAATGTCCTAAATTCAAGGGAATTGGCCAATTCACTAATCCACTCAGGATCTTCATACCAAGGCCTAGGGACTACTTCGTCATCAATGCTGGGGTCATACAAGAAGCTGGCATTCTCGGGTACTGGCAAACCTACTCGAGCAAAACTTACCAACCTAGCTGACAAAGGAATTATGGGCGAACCATATTCTTTGGCAGCTTGGCTGCCTAATGCCATTCTTCGCATCAGTGACACCGGATATCGAGCTGAGTAACTGGACACTCGCTCACCGGCCTCTGGGCACTTTCCATACACAGTGCAAGCATCTGGGACACAACGGCGATCGAAAGCCTCGATGCTCTGAGGAGTGAAATTGCCCTGGACTACAAAATGTTGATTCTTCCACTTGCATCTGCATGAGCCTTCAAACTGCAAAAGCCAACCCTTATTATGGAGCCATTGTGAGGGCTTATTGAAAGCAGAACCAAAGTTGCAGAATGCCATGCGCGTGATCACACAGCCAAGTTGCACAAGCACTTTGAAGCAATGCAACCGAAACATGACTGAAGAACCAGGCTGCTCGCAACTGAAGTACACTCCAGTAAGTATTGCTATAGCGCCCACCATAGCGACACGGCGTGCTAGCAAATTATGAGCTGCTGTTAAAGGTTCATGGGGATTAAAACCCTCGGGATGATTAACATCTCTAAGTCTGGGCCTACGCAAAGTACCATAGGTGAGGCAGGGGGGACCTGCCTGCCACTCGCGGACTACTCTGCGATGTGCCAAGGCCATAACTTCATGGAAGGTGCTATCATTGGCGAGGTCCTTGAAAAACAACTTCGACCGATTCTGTTCAAAACCCTCGTGAACGAACAGCCCATGCTCTACATGACATGACGACCAATTGCCTGAGCCACGAAACAACTCACACAGTCATACAAAAACCCCTCGGCAAGGCTGGTCGGCAACCGGAAATCTGATTGTGGGAACACTTGCAATTCGGGAGCTTCGGCACCCATCTCCAAATCTTGTACAGAATCATACCCTAGTTCTTTCAAGGTGGCAGCTGCAGGGCCTAGCAAATTAGTATGGTAACCACGCTGTTCAGAGTGTCTCCATAGTTCGGCCACTGCAACCGAAGTGGATTCGGCTTGAACAATCCCCGCCCCGGAGGGTGAGGCGTCTAAGGCGTAGATTTTTGGACATATTTTTGCTCGGAGGTCAGTTTGGGCACAACTACCTAAAATGCAAAGTGACATCAATTCATGCCTAGCATGCGAACTTAAACAAAACACTTCATGTGGCTTTCGGTCGAAACCTTCCTTGAAAAGGCAATCAATGAGTGCAAGAAGTGGTCGTCTGAACAAGATAGCATGAATCCAACAACCCAAGATGGAAGTCAAGATCTGCCGGGTGCAAGTTCCTAACTTCACAATGGTAGAGGTTAACCAGATCAACATGAACAACCGGATCCTAGGAGCGCTAACCCGACCCCGGACACCATCAAAATCGGCCCCCAAAATAGTACCCTTGGATTCTCTACGGCGAGCTTTACCTGGATGGGCAACCAGACCCACTTTAGAATACGCCCTTTGAGATTGGTCGAAAACCTGCGTGTCACGGTGATCGGTGGGTTTTCCTACTTCCTGGATAGGGATCTTTTGAACACCTATATGATCATCAATCGCTAGCAATTCAATGAAATCACCACGAGGGATAGCTTTACGATACTCCAACGTCTCTGGCTCCCGCATGCAGCCTGCTTCGATTTGAAGAAGTGCATGGTGACTGCCTTGAGCAATTTCAACCGCATGCCCATCCCCCATGGCCAGCGTATTGAGTGCTGGATAGAAGGGCCCTTTTTGTGTGGAATCGTAGCAGGATAACTCATGAACTTCCGAGGGGTATACTTTCATGCCGATGCAATTACGCTTAGCTCTATTCCGGGGAACTTTGAAAGTATAATAAAAATCAGAAAGGTCATCGGCACAAAATCTAAAGGCCTCCTGGGGTCCTAACGAAAGGAGAGATAGCAAGGCTTCGGGGGCGAGCTTTTTGGTGTACTTGCTATACGGCATCAACCTAGAATTCAGAACCGTTGGATTAATGATCAACCGGTCAAAATGTTCATCCTTTGGGACGGCAAAAATTCCAACTGCTTCATGAGGATCGATTTCATCACAGGGAAACAACGCAAGTGAACCATGAGCATCCCAAATCTTCATCATTCCCAAAAGTTCACCACGAGAACACTGAACCCGAGCTTTGGGCTTATTAGGCCAGAGACTACTGGGTAACCTTAAGCTATCAGGGTTATCGAAAACTGAGGCTACAATGGGGTCTAAAAGATAAGGTCTAGGGTCGAACTTAGGCGGGTGTTTCCATTTAATCCTAGAAGCAACTACGGGTTTGTTTCCACAATCTTTGATTGGCACAAATGCAGGATCGTGTTGGCAATTCTCATGCTGTGCTTCATGTTGGGATTCTTCCGCAAAATGCGGTGCTTCGAAAGTTGCATATGAATCAAACTGATGACTAATTGCTTGCAACAGTTCACCTAGGTCCACTTCCTGGTGTGCAGGCAGTTCCTCAAGAGAGCTGTGGAGCGCTACGAATTTTTCCCCAAACCGACCCAGGTCTTCGCGGCTGAAGTTCGGCAGGTCGCAAAAGTGAGCTATATGGTTCTGCAAGGTCTCAATGACCTTCTCCTGTTCCCCTGTCGGCATGACTCCTGCTTGGGCATCTGCAGTAGGCTTATCGGGATAACCTAGGGTAATCCAATTTAGCATGCGAATGACACGTTGGAGTAACAGGGACTTCAGTTGGTTAGCTCTTTTACGCTTACGCTGTTTGGGTCCGGGTCGAGGATTACCTGTCCATCGCCACAAAGGAGGGGGAACAGGCCAGAGCGGCCTCTTGGAACAAGAGGGCCTTACCTCACGAGAGAGCCAAGCAGGCACCAAAGCTCTTCTGCAAAAGAGATTAAAGCTACAAGGGGTCCTGGCCAAGGACTCCAATGCAACCATCAAGATTGACAGAGGCTCATAGGGGCCGGCATTGGAAACATCAAAATTGTTGCAATTAAAAAACTGTGAGACAGGATCCGCATGTGATGTGATCTTATGGCTGGTTTGACAAGACGTGGATGAAACGGAGTGCTTAACCTTAGGACACTTCCTACCACTATCTGGCCTAGCCCTGCCTCTGTGCATCTCGGTCATGCGGCGGTGGTTTCCGTTGAGGACGCTTCGGCCCCCTTTCCACCCTTGCCTTTCTTGCCCTTCGCCTTTGGCTTGGGGCGAGGAATCTTGTCTTCTGGATCGGAATCTCTGCTGGCCACGGCTGAGCTCTTGGTTGTGCCCAGCTGCTTCAAACGAGTGTCGAACACCTCCACATCGCGAAGGTAGCTTACATTCGCCGCCACCCAGGTGGGTGGGGCAAGCTTCGAAAATGGAGTCAGTGATGTCCTCTTTCGATTCAGGGCTAGCTGCTGAAAATTTGGTTCTGGTAAGCCCGTCAGCAACCATGCCAGTCCCGACCGCCCTTCGTCCAGACAACACTGTTCGACATACATCATCATCCTGCCAGCGAATGCCATCAGCTGAATGTTCTGAGTCTCGAATCCGGCTTCCCAACCCCAGGCAAGCATATAACCCATCAGCGTCAAGGTCTTTCGATCCGACAGCGGCACACGATGCTCCAGAAAGGTCCTGAGCAATGAACCGTCTGCACGTGAAATCCCTAATTCTGTCATGGCATGTTGCTGAATGATTTGGACTAACTTCTTTTCGTCCACAAGCTGCTTCAGGAACATCTCGCGGGCTGCATAGCCCTTGCAACCGATGTTTCCTCCGGAGCTGGCGGACCCGTTGTCCGTCCCGCCTAACACGGCTGACAGAGGGTCCGGCTGCTGCTTGGGAGCTAAGGCTTTGACCAAATCCGACGTCTGTTTCAACTGAAGCAGGAACATGCGCTGGATGGGATCGTTCACTTGGGCCATGCTGGCTTGAGCTTCTTTCAACCATGGGTCCTCCTCGTCGTCGGCCGCCAACACCTCGCGATCGACCTCGGCTGCATGGATGTCGGCCAGAGCAGCCAAGTCTTTGGATGGTGCCTTCTGGGCACGCTCTGCTCGACCCAGTCGCGGAGGAGGCGGGCCGGCTGCTAACTGCAAACGTTGCAGGTCGCTGGAGGTCAAGGTGGACTGAGCTCGGTCTCCAAACAACATGGGCTGCCCGCCCACGGCTCGCTTGGTCGCCGGTGGAGCAGGAGGGGCCTGCTGCTGCTGCAGCAACTTTTCCAACTCTGCGACTCGGTGGTGGAGAGCTCGGATCTCTTCTGCTGACCTGGCTGGTGTTGAAGGCACAGCCTCGTCCTCTTCTGGATCTAAGGGCTGCCCATCTAACAAACCCTCGGCCATTTCCGCAGCTGTGGCATATTCTTGTGCTGTTTCTTCGTCGAGCACAGATGCGATCCAGGAACTTGCAACTTCCTCCACTGAAGCTAGAACGGGACGACCGCCTGTTCCATCCACAGCGAATGGCATGAGAGCAAGGCTTGATCTCTGACTGGCTTTTCGAAACAAACTGAGGTATGTCCATGGGACATCGGCTAAGATGACTTCGGTGGGTCCTAATGGACGGCCCCGCACGGTCTCTAGCTCTACACTGACGCGTGACAATGCAACGACCTCCCCCCCACTGGGAATCACAAAAGCATGCAATGCCTCTTCGATGGTTTCGGAAAATGGAAAAACTGCCATGAATCCCTGAGCACGGCATCGGAATATATACACTTGGCATCTCCAGGCTGCTGAGCCTGATGGAGAGTCTGTCAAAACTACAGCTGAGAGACGCTGACGGGCGTCACCTTCGGCCGCCTGTTGCACCACTTCTGGTACAACACTTCCTCTCACAGCTTCTGAGGCCATCCCCTTTGCGCTCCGAACAGGTAAGCCGAAGCTTCAGTCTTCGAGGCAAAGGAATCAAAAACTGCGCGCGGTGGATCTGGAAAACTTCCACGACCCGTTGGATCACCAATCAAATTCAGGAAGGGTCTTGAGCTGGTAGCCCAAAAACCCTCAGGATACTCAGGGCACTGTAAGCAAACAGAGGAATGAACACGGATGTCTAAGGGAGCAGCCCTTGTCACCACGGTGTGCCCAGCCCTCAGTGCTCGTGCACCCACCAACCCAGATCTGAATGCCCTTGCAATTCGAAGCTTGCTTGTCCAAGATCCTACAGTTCCCAAATGCACACCTAAGCTGAGATGCTCCAGGGGAGATAGATCCAAAGCAGCAAATTGCTCGGGAGTGGTAGCAGCAACGATCTCGTCCTCCCACCACTGAGGCCAGGGACGTGAAGACCTAACTGCAGGTTCTGATCGATTGGATGGTTCGGACTCACTTAGGGAATCCAATGCAGCCTCAACTCGCAGTCTAAGCTCTCGGACTTGGGTTTCCAGGGAAATCAATGCTGAGTGGATGTCACGCAACTGGTCACTCATGCACGGTATTGCCTGAACCGCTGTTGTAATGCCAATGAGTTTTGACGCACCCACGGGCTGGCAGACAAAAAGGATTCAGCAATGATAGTACAAATTTGTAGGACCAATTGGCGACAAAATCTAGAGGCAATGATGATTCCACAACAAAATCCAGCCACGCACCCCAGACAGCCGGCAGTCCCAATGGCGATAAGGATGAACCCCCAAGGACAATGAGTGGGAGGTGTCACCCAGAACCGGAATTCACGTAGCGAGTCTAAGATCAGGGAGCTGCTCCACATGAACCGAAATGCTTGAGCGGGTCAATCTCATTCGTTCATGTGATACAAAGCATATACTAGATATATATACTATATATAAACTACATATATATACAATATTATATATACACTATAATATATATACCATATATATATAAGCATGCTGTAGAATTGTAGATTCACACTATAATATGTATATTACTTACATTATCATATAATATCATATATTATTATAGTGTGCATTAATATCTGATGAGATAGACTTAAATCGCAAAAATCAGGTATTCCTTGCCTCGTCCAAAGGATTTGGCTTCGCCACAGCTTCACGCAGAGATTGGACCTCTGTGTCTGTGCTGTGTAATCTACAGGATAACCCAGGATTCATAGACCCCCAGTCTATTGGATTTATTAATAGAGGGGATGCCCATGTTAAAAGGAATTTGATGGGATTTGTCATTATTTTGGGGTAAACCCCCAGTGAATCCAAGTGATATATGATATAATAGTCAAGATTTATAAATCTAGGGTTGATATTACCTCGGATGCAATTCAATCCTAGTGTGCCAAGATTGATTTCGAATGTCTGCACATGTTTGTGTGTTCAAGTGTGTCTGCACCTCTTCTCGGAGCTTCTCTGACTCTTCAGATGCTGCCTGACGGAGATAGATGCTTCTGCGACAGCTATGTGCCAGGACCCCAACAGCACCAAACTCCTGAGGTGGCTTTGTGTCAAGCCGCCATTGCTCGTTCTCCCTCTCAGATTTATAAGCTGTAATAAGGTGGGTGCAGGAAATCAATGTGGTCAAGTCATCTAAGTCCACATTCTGTCTTTGCTTTCCTTTTTTGTGGGAAACGCTTGCCAGTTCGTGGCAGATCAACCTCACCTGCAGTTCCTCCAGTCTCTTCTTCAGACCCGGGACCTTGCGAGAAATCGAGAAATACCACCAGAGGTCACAAGAGTCTGTTTATTCTCTCACACACACACTCTCTCTCTCTCACTCTCTCTCACTCTCTCTCTCTCTCTCTCTCTCTCTTTGACACACTTTGCAAAATCTTTGGGGCGGTCTGCTTGAGCGTACAAATCAAAGGAACATATGCTTTATGTCATCCAGAAACTGGACTGCTCCCACCTCCTTCTCAAGACTTTGCAGCTGTCGCAACTTGTCCAGTGTCCCCTCGTCAGGGGATAGAAACTGCGCTGTCTACACGGTTTCCTTGGAAGATGTGCCCTTTGACTATTGTACCCTTTGCATTGATCTTCATACAGTAACAAGTCAAGTGTCTTTTCCAGTCAATATTGAATATTAAAGAAAATAGAAAAACAATGAAAACCATGGAAAAGCACATTGCAAGCGACTGGTCAAAGGCAAACTCTGAAAGCCAAATAGAGCTGCATCAGGTCTATCATCATCCAACCCAGCCTCGTCCAGAAGTTGTTGCAACTCTTGAACTTTCTGAGCTGCAGCAGCTTCAGCTGCTCGTAGAGATTGAACCTGAAGACAAATTCTGATCTTTCCGGTCAGGGAGGTACCCTCTGGTAATTTAACATAGCTATTGAACATGGCCATAGAAATAGTGAGTTTTCCCATTAAAAATTGTGATTTTCCATAGTTTTTTGTAAACGTTTACCAGAGGGTAAGCCTGTCATGGCCGGTTATTTTATCACCTGGCCACATTCTAACTCTCTTGGGGATGACCAGTGATTTGCCACATCTGAAAGTTCGAAGCTCCAAAATGTCTGTCCGATCTGGTGCTGTGACATGCTGTGACTTTATGATCTTTATGAAAGTAAGAAACAATGTAACGAGGCATAACGAGGCTGGAGGAAAGACTGCACTGCCTGGTGTCTATGTAAATTATCCTTTTCTCATGAGGTTTTCCAACATCTCCCGAGGAGGTTTTTTTTACCGGCTAAATCGCCGTCAGCACCTCCCGTTGCAGCTTTTGCACTTGATCCTTGCCGGCCTTGCAAGTTTGTTCGAAGGGACGCGGTGGGTACCACTCAACCTTCCCTTCTCACGCTTTGGCGACTACATGCGACTACGACTACGGCAAAAACATGCAAAAGCCATCGCCAGAAATTGCTTCAAAAAATGGCCATATATAGTTACCATATAGTTACCATTAATTACCATTCATTGCCCCCCGCTTTCACGAACTACCTGAGCTTCGGGAATGATGGAACTAGGTGGATGTAAACAGTGTTCCTGTTTTTAATGCATCGCAAGGAATCGAGTGCCGCAAATACTTGACAAACACGGCATTCAGAGACCGACAAGAATGACCAAAGCAACCCAATCATTCCTGGAAAACATTAAAAAAACATGGAGAAAAAAAACACATATTACCGAACATATCTCATATATCCAATCATTTCCATCTCGCGGATGGGACTATCCATTCCACCAGATATCAGAACGGTAGCATTGCCTGATCACCCACTTTGCAGGATCTCATCACCTCAACCAGTTTTGGAGCCATTGACTTCACCTGGCATGCCATGTAGTGCTTCGTAGTGTTTCTGAATGTTTCTGATGTTTTTACATAACTCATAATGTCATATTCTTTAGTTTTGATACATGTGTGCGCGCTTCTTTGTTTGCTCGAAACAAACTTTAGATTGAAATCGCCAAAAATCACGGATACAAAACCATTAAACCTCGCAGGAACAGCATGGAACAGCCATGGATTCTGCCTGATTCGTTGAGTTCGGTGTCACACATCAAACAATATATGCAGAGAATGGATGAAAATGATGGTTAGAGCCTGCTCATGAATCATATGTTGTCTGAACCGTTTTGAATCAAAGTACAGTACAGTAGATGACAAGAACTTTAAGTGTGTGGCTGGTGTTTGCATGGTGCTGTGCAAACAGATTGTAAACAGGGGTCTGGGTAAACTCCCTGACATCCAATGGGGAATCTCCATCTTCACACAAACATCACAGCTTCACACCCTTGCTTCGGGACCTCCTTCTCCTCAGCAGACTTTGCTGCCGCAGAGTGCCGCATCTGACCGCTCCAGATGCGATGAAATCATCCAATCACTCTACTCCAGTCCCGGCTAGTAGCCTGGCTATATAGGTTACACCCATGCTACGGGTGTTCATCCAAGGCGGTGTGGGTCAGCAGTTTTTGCCAGCAGATTTCACCAATTTGAAACAGGATCATTCAGAATGGGTCATTTACAGTCCATGGATTAGTATACATTTTGTCTGGGTTTTCCTAACCATCAAAACAAATCATATACCATGAATATACCATTTACGTACATCTTGAATGCTAATATAGTCTATGATGATGGTAATATAGTTGTTCATTACTGTACCATTATAGAATAATATAGAATATATATATATTATATATATATGCATTCATATACATTCATATATATATATATGTATACATACCACTATTGACGATGATATCTAATATACCATCGTATACTACTCTTTAATATTATTTAATGATATATCATGAAAATTACAAGGGATCTCATTGCAGGGCCATCGAGCCACTAGCCGGGTCACCTGCCTTCATCTCGCCCCAAGCAGTGGGTAACTTCATGGCCCGACGTTTCACCTGGCTGCATGGTGACTGGACATCCCTTAGAGCCAGCTTGCCTCGATCTGTACATATATAAATAATATTATATTATATTATATTATATTATATTATATCATATATATATATGTATCATATATATATATGTGTGTTTTATCTATGTCATCATACATCATGCATATATACATATATATATATACAGTACAAAACATGGGCCATCCCTCGTCCAAGATCGTAATTATCATACGATTGGTCGGTGATAATTGGCAGTGGAGGACGAGTTCCCTGCACTGTGGTTTTTTAAGAGATGTTACTCGAGGGTCCAAGTGCCGCACAGGACTCGATGCCCGCTCTGGGCTCAGTGAGCGCAGTTGTACCTCTGCTTGGCAGATATTGACAATTTGGACCATCAGACTGTCCTCAACTAGTGAGGATGTTTGAGCTGATGTTTGATTCTCAACACCACGAAATCGGTGAGCTGTTACAAACTGGAGACGCAGTTCTGGGACAGTAGCCACAACTTGCAATGTTCAAAATTCAAATAGTCTTGGCTTGTTTGAAAAGTTAAAAGAGTTCAAAGACTGTGTTTGATTCGATGAGCCTGACTTCGGCAATCTTACAGCTGCCTCTGACATCCAGTGGATTCGCCAGGAATCTATTGGAGACCTTCTTTACTTGATTATATCAGCGGCAGAACAGAAAAAAAATAGCTTGTGGCCGTGTGGCCTAAAGTTTAGCCATGTTGAGCCAAGGTAATGCCACCATCACCACACCATACATCTGAGGCGCTAAGAGTGAATGCATTCGCTCTTGTAGTCGATGTCTCGCCTTGGTGGTTCCAAAATTTTGTCAGCTGTCCTCCCCTTCTGAAGCATAGAGAAATGAAACTATAAACAATTATAGTCATCCCCAAATAGATGGAAAAGTAAATCACCATCAAATTAGTAGGGATTTGCTTTTCCATCTATTTGGGGATGACTATAACCATTAAACATTAGCAGCACCACTTCAACTGGCTTTGTGTCTGCTGGATCAACACCCTTCTTCGGCGGCTACACCACGACATCGCATCGTGCTGCCGTCGAGGAACTCGTTCGTAATTCGCAAGCAAATACTCTCGACACACGGCCTGTGTTGCTGCCATGGCGGCAGTCCACTTATCACTCAAAGAGGTATGCTATGGGCAAGGATGGGTGTGGGGTTCCACTGTTATAGAGTCACTTTACCACAATGTCATGACCATCCTTGGTGCGGAAAACAACCCAATGAGATATTGCCTCAGGCACTTGATATCTGATCCGCTCTTCCTCATATTGGTGGCTCTTCGAGTCACTTCAGCAAAGAGTCAGCCGCTGTTTGTCAGGGCCGTTGTTGGATCACATTCCTTGCAAATTATTGCAAACAAAGACCCAAAATTCTTTTGAACAACAGGATGCCCTACTAGGGGGAATTGACGAAAGCTAGGAACAACCAAAATCTGGACATGAGATGATGCATGGTTGGGGAGCAATCCTTGGAAGTTAGGATGTTTGACGACCATTGGGAAACCGCAGGACCAAAAGAGAGAAAACACCAAGGAGCCTTGTAAAAGAGGCGGGAACATGGGATGAATGAGCAAGCAGAAGGCGGTGTCTGATATGTGTGTCCTCTTGCGGCGGTTCATGTCACATGATTGGCCCCACCTGCTTCTGCCTTTCGAAAGCAAAAAGAAACGTTCGTTTATGTTCTGTTAGTTTGCCAAGCCTGGGATGTTCATCCAATTGGATCAAAAAGATTCAAAAAGCACAGCAACTCTGACCATGCCATCCATGCCTCTTCCTGGTCTTTTGACACCTGCTTGAGATGTTCCATCTCCCGTGGTCGCACCTCGGCTCGTCATTCACCCGTCCAGTTCTGGAATCTTTCAGCCCCCGCCCAGTCTTCAAACTGCTG